CTGACATTGAAAATCTAGCAAGCAGTATTGCCTTTCCCCTGAAGAAATTGTATATAGTTGAAGGTGTGTGTGTGTGTGTGTGTGTGTGTGTGTGTGTGTGTGTGTGTGTGTGTGTGTGTGTGTGTGTGTGTGTGTGTGTGTGTGTGTGTGTGTGGTCATTCGATTGACCTGTTTGGTGATTGGCTGTGATAAATCTCGAATCATGTGACTTTTTCTTTAAAAGATATCTAATCTCAATATTTTAACCAATAAACATAATTTTCGTAAAATAGTTATGATAAGTATAAACAATTGGACAGGACTGAAATAAAAAAATTTGCGAAATATAATGAATTAAACGAAAAAAAAACCACAAAAATCGTGATGTAGGTTCTAAACGATCGTCACACAGCAATGCATATTTCTATGGTTTCTACAAGAACAAACGAATCGTCTTGTTCGATACTCTTTTGGATGAACAGCTCAGGAAAGCTAACATGCCAGAAACAGATGAGAATTTGAAACTAAATTCTAAAAATTCAAAGAGAGGTGATGATTTGGTGTTGAGGAAAGATGACGACGATGATAATGCTGGCGATGAAGTGGACGTTAGAGAGAGATTAATTAAGGAGAGAGAGGCGAACGATGAAGAAGATAGTGAAAAAGTGAGTGGGATTGGCTGTTTGGCTAGTTTGAGTTTGGTCCTGATTGTGTGAGGTTCAGTTTTGTTTTCTCTGATTGTAATTAGCAATTTTTAAAATGTTGACGATGAGTCTTCGATTGGTTAATTGATTTATTTATTTATTCATATTTATTATTCATTTATTCCCAATCAATTCGTTCACATCAATCATTCATAAAATTTCGGTTTTTTCAGTCATTTGCGAGAATCCTCAACGACTTTTAAACAGGATTCGAAAGCTGCAGAGGCTGCGACAATGGCAGCAACGACGTCGTCTCAGGAGGAGAAGGAAAAAGAGAAGAAGAAAAAGATGGGATGCAACGTCAACGAGATATTAGGAGTCCTGGCTCATGAACTTGGACACTGGAGCTACAACCACATCCTCAAGAATTTAATTTTCTCACAGGTTTCCGTTGTTATTTGGTACTCATTCAATCTGTCTCTCACTTATCCATTTGACCTTCCATGCAGTCATTCGTTCTATTCGTTTCTTCATTCATCCATTCTATTCGTTTCTTCATTCATTCATTCGCCCGTTCGTTCATTCATTCATTTCGTCAATCATTTGGTCAGTTAATCGTTATATTTGTCTATTCGTCTATTTATCTACTTGTTAATCAATTTATAGAATATATACTTTTCAAGCAGAGGTTTAGATGTTAGGCTAAGTTAAGTTAATGAATGAATGATCGAATGATCGAATGATCGAATGATTGATTGATTGATTGATTGATTGATTGATTGATTGATTGATTGATTGATTGATTGATGAAAAATGAAAAATGAATTTAAAAAGCACAAATGTTTCCTGCCAGGTTAACCTTTTCCTGATGTTCTTCCTGTTCGCTATCTTCTCCAATAACAAGATCCTCTATGAGTCATTCGGCTTCGTCAACGAACAGCCAACCATGATCGGATTGGTGATAATATTTCAATTCTTACTCTCACCATACAACGAGGTGCGTCCTTTAAAGTTGTAATTTCTCCTTTGCTATGTTATTAAATTGTACCATTATAATTGTTCTTGCTATTAATATTACTGTTGTCAATACGCACGCACAGCCATACAAACTGTCACACACACACACACATGCGTGTACAGTTGTACGCACGCACACATACACACTTTACAGTTGTTACAATTCGTGATGATAGTCTACAGCAGAAGGTGCGAGTTCCAGGCTGACGGCTTCGCGTGCAAGTTAGGCTATTGTAGGTACATAAAATCGGCTCTGGTGAAGTTGAATCTTGACAACTTATCATTCCCCATCACTGACAAACTCTATTCCACTTTTCATTACTCCCATCCTCCACTGCTTGAAAGGCTCTCCGCCATGGGGGGTGCCGACACTGATACTGGTGACGGTAACGTTAGTGAGGTTGGGTATAAGAAGGGACTTTAGTTTGATCTAGTTGGCTGGTTGGCCGGTTGGTTTGTCGATTGATTTGGCTTGTTTGATTAATTGAATGGTTGATGATTGATCGTCAGATTTGTGACTGTTCATGATCAAAGCACACTTTCTCATTATTTTTTTTTAGTACGGTTGATTTTTGAATGAAATTAGAGTTTATATTTTATAGATTTTGTTAATTCGTTCGTAAGATTATGCTACTTTAATACGTAACTGCTTGTTTCGAAATACATAGCTTTGGAGGACCCAGTTGGGTTAACGGGCTTCAGTGCACGTAATGCTTCTTGTTGGTAAATGGTTCATTTTATCGCAGTTTACATTTAACCTAATCCACCATGTTGTTTTGTGATCGAATAGATTTTTTTAAATTCGTTTTTTGCACTTTTATTCAATATTTGAAATTAGTGAAATAGTAAATTAGATGAATTCGACGAAATATTATTTCGATATTTTCAACGGGGCGCTCGATGTATATTTACGTGATTTAAATGTGATGGTACTCACGATCTTATTGATGTGCGCACAGGCCGTCTATCAAGTTGCTATATACAGTGCGCAGGTATTTTAAGATTCCATTAAATACCTTATATAAATTTCTTTTGTTTTTGCTCAATTCTGTCAAATTAATTGCGTATGTTCCTCACTCTTCTGTTCTTCTATTTTATTAATTATTTTCAACATTAATATTTGACATTTGTGAAAATAGTAGTTGAATCTAGAAATGAACCCTTCATAACCCCCAAAAAATAAGCTAGGCCAAAAAAGGTCTACTGAGGTTTTATGGAATATCCTAACATTTTGAAATTAGTTCATTTATTTTTTTATATTCAAATTCATACTGATCAAATTAATTATTAATTATAAAAGTTAATTGTTAACTTGAAAAAAGTTTGGGAGAAGGGTTTGAAGGTCAGAGGCTTGGCTATTCAGTAACAATACTAACAACAGACAAGTTTAATAATTATTTTTGAAATAAATTATAACTTTTTCCCTAAGATTTTAACATGTGTGAAGCACTCATCAGCTAAACCACTTTATTTTTACAACTTTCTAACTTATGATCTGCTATTAAAGAAGAAGCATTACACAATGCTGACGATTGTGTTCAAGCTCTGCTCTGACATCTATGAGAAAATGGAAAAAATTGTCTGTAAATATGGGAAATATATTTGATTTCATTTGTTTATTCATAATTTTATATAGTTTGTTCATTGTGATAAGATTTGATTTATATAAAATTCTTACATCTATGCATTTGGATGTTTTAAATTTATTTTTGTTCAATGTAAGTTTATTTCTAATTTATTACAAAATCGACTTTTATACTTGAACAAATTAAAGTTAGGAGAGCTTTACAATTTATTCTAGGCAAGCACCCAATACCATTTTCATTAGTAATTAGTGACAAAATATCATTTTCCTAGTTTTTTATGTGGTTCTACGCAATGGTTTATCTGTGGTACTGGTCGGGAATATTGATGGGGGCAAAAAATATAAACCAGGAAGATGAGGTAGTAGCTAAAATTGAATTCAATATGTATTAATTAAAGATAATAAATGCTGTAAGATACGTGATCAGTTATTGTGTATGTTTTATTTAATGACAGATTCTACGGTCGTTAATTTTTTTCACATTTTTGTACATCTTCTGCCTGCTATCTTACCTGCCATGGAAGATTTTGAAGCAAATATTTGTAGAGTACAAGATGAAAACTGACAAAAGGGTTAAATTTTGCGCGCGTGTGTGCATGTATGTGTGTCTATAGTAAAGATGTTAATTACGAATAATATTTTTTATAACACCCCATAGCCATTGATATATTTCTTCAAAGTTTACATCCTGACGTTTGTACTGTTGGCCTGCTTTCTCTACCCTCTCTTTACGTTGTTTGTATTTCTAGCCAGTCTTTGGGGAAACATCGTTTTTCTATTCGTTTGGATCATTGTGGTGGCCTCTTGTTTGGTCAGTTTATGGTATTTTTAGTGGTTATTTAGTAAATACTGAGAAATAACTTACTACGTGACATGTGATACATTATTAATACAATTAGATTGTATAATTTAATGCAGTACGACACTGCGAGGTACAAAATATTTGTATTTAAATGCAAAGCCGCTGTATTCAAATACGATGCAACGTTATCCAGTACAAAACTTTGTATTTAAATACAATACCAAGATCTTTTACTCTGCATATGTCTGCTTATGCTCTAATAAGTGGGGAGTGATTGCTGATTTCCCTGACTGTCCCCTAACTGTCAGAATTAGGACGTTGTTTGAATCGGCCAAGATGAACGTAGACCATATTTATTTAGTACTCAGTTAGTTTTTTTCTTCGTTTTTTTAATTCGACTTCTTCAAATTAATAGTCTTTATGCTTTTTAAAAATGGTATTTAACCGTACCTATAATTTACTTAGGCCCGGTGGATGCGCCACCAGTTGAAGTCGTTGGGCCATGGAGGCATACGTCGATTAGGATCAGTGGCATCTTCCTCAATACGAAGTACGCCGACCTAATTCGAACGGTTAAGAAGAAGGGCAACGAGGAGATAGGTTTGGGGAAACCTACGAATTCACCTAATTTAGACACAGACAAATCGGGTTTAATATTGCCGCCCTTATCCATGGCTTCGCCGTTTATAAATTTGACAAATTCGAACAAAAATCATCCGAAGTTAGGTTCAAGTTACTATAGAGGCGATTTTAGCCCGAGTAGGGGTGGTTACGATAGAAGTGATAACATCGGTGACAGCAGATACAGAGATGTCATTTTCAGTGGCACTGATGATGCTAATGATTTAAGCGTCATGAGTGAAACTGATACTGGCGATATAACCAATGCTACTATAAGTAGTAGTAGTAGTAAAATTAATAATAATATCGCTTATTATAATAATAATAATAACAGTGTTAAAAGTAATCTTAAAGTGTTAAACTGTCGTCTTAGGAGAAAACATAAATTACTTTATAACGATTACCAGAGCACTAAACTCGTTAACAGTAATTCTAATGATAGTGATAATTACTGTAATGATAATGACTCCAGGGAACGTTTCGTCGATAACTTCAATAAATTTGGTGATAACAATAATACTAAAAGTATTGATCACAATTTTAATGATAATAAACAAACCGGTACTGAACAGATCACTACTGCTGACGATAATAAGCATAATTATATTAACGCAGATAGTAATAATGAAGATAATTATGAAAGTACGAAGAATATTAATATGAACTCTTTGAAGAGTAGGTCGCTATCCGGTCTGATGTTCATTGATAAGACCACTAAGGGAGCGAGTCAGGCATTTGACGGTTTTACTGGCAGCATTAGAGTTAATTAAATTTTATAATTAATTAATTTGTTTATTCATTCATTCACTCATTCGTTCATCTTTTGTTCTTTCACTTTGTTTGGTAACTTAATTGTTCATTTTCCCATTAATACATAACATAGGTTAATGAATTGCAGTACATTTGGCCGCTCACTCATTCGTTCACTCATTCATTCTTTCACTAATTTATATAGCGCCCATCTTCTCTAGTCCAGAGTTTCAAGCCAGTGAGTTTGAGTGACGATGAGATTTTAGCCCTGGCGGCATTTGCGATGGTCGGAAGGAAGAAAGCTTACACACTGATGATTATTATATTCTATTTCGTAAGATTTATGAGTATTATTTTTGTTTATTATTATTTATTATAATAATTACCATAATAATAATGATAATAATTACCATAATAATAATGATAATTATCGCTCTACATCGAAGTCATCATCTTAGCCATCGCGATCATCGCCGATCACAGATTTGGGTCACTTGTCTGTTTACATTCGCGACTTTACTTTTCACGAATGAATCATTTTTCAAGTCTTACGGTTTCGAGAATGAGAAGCCGAAATTAGTTGGACTGATCATCATCTATCTATCTCTCAATAACCCCATCAGTGATGTGCGTGTGTGTGTTTGTTATCGTTTCTGCTATTTTAATCATCATCACTATCTTCCTAGTCTTTATCATCGTCGTCGTCGTCTTTAATAATCATCATTGTTTTTCTTTACATTATCATCGTCACCTTAATAATCATCATCATCGCTGTCGAATCGCCTTAGTAATCATCTTAATCACTCTAATCATCATCATAGTCATNTGAATCATTATCNCCATATTCTTCTTAATCATCATCGTCATAATCGTCGTTATTACTTCTCCAGGTATNTCTTGTTTTATCAAATCTGTTACAACGTTACACAGTATACAAATGCGACGAGCAGGTCACCAGGTTAGGCCATGGTGACGGGTTGGTACTAGCTCTTAAGTCTCTTAGTAAGGTAGGTTAACATAATTTATGCTAATTTATGGTCATTCATTCATTTGATTTCATATTTCACTTAATACTGTATTAATGTAGATTTTACTAGATAGTTAACGTTTGCTATTTGGTTATTTTAAGTATATATGTATAATTGCTTAGTATTAATTACGGAGAGTTAATTATATGTCAACAAAAAGATCGATCAATAATTTCTATTTTCAGATCAACCTGGACTTCCCTTATTGTAATAAGATCTACTCTGTCTACTGTCTCAGCAGTCCATCTATCGTCGAAAGGATTTCTGCCATTGAAAATATGTCCGCATCATCGAAAAATAATATAATTTAATATTATTTTTAATTATTATTATTACCGCCATTTTATTATTTTATATATTCATTTTTATATTATTTTATTGTATATTGATGTATTTTTCAATGAGATAGAGTTTGTTTTGGTTTGCACTGAAATTCCATTTTGCTAGGCTTGTAATATTGGAACTTTTGTACTATCTCTTGTGACTTGCCGAATTGCGATTTTTCAGTGAAGGGTTGTAAGTTTGAGCAGTTCTTCAATTGATCCTTTAGTTTTAATTAATAACTGGTGGTTTGTGTATCGTGGAGCTCTGTTGTAGTAGTTCTCTACTCCCATAGAGTTTTGATCAGCCGATTCTAAGGTTTGGGTCAATTGTAAGTTTACATTATACTTAAAACTACAGCGCTTAATAATTAAGGACTAAAAAGTGAATTTAGTTTAAAATAAACAAACGTTTTGATTTTAATTTAATTATTTAAGGCGATAATTTTTGTTTAATGCCGGAATTAGATTTATCGTAATAGTAGAAATGATTATTTTCACATTTATCTTTCTTGTTTTTTCTAATTTGGCTGCTGAGGTTTGCTACAAATGGTTTATGCAAAAAATACTTTTTAATAGTAAAATATTAAAATCTATGAAAACCCTTTACTTTACTTTATTTGACTAACTAAAAAACAGGCCCAATACGGGGATGTGCGTTGCAAATGTGTTTGCTCGGCTACTAATCAGAATTCAACGATTTCCTACAAAAAGATCTACGTGCAGTCATTCCACGATCCAAGAAATTGGTTTTTCATTTCTTTTCAAAAGTTTTTTTGATGAAGATTATATTATAATACTATTTATTATACTAGAAATATCAAATAGAGATAGTCAAATTAAAAAATTTGAAATAATAAAATTAATGAGGAATTAAATAAAATTATTATGGTTGCTAGTATTGTTTGTTGTTTTATCAAATGTTTCATTCCTATTGTATTGCCTAATATCCCTAATTGACCCCCACTCTTTGAAAAGTAAATGTGACAATGTGGTCGACAAGCCAGTTCTGAACAACCATCCACACTTTTGTGACAAATGTGATTGCCAGTGGCAGAGAAGAAATACAATGACCATTAAAGTGAAAGATTTCATCTAATTTCAATTATTATTTTCTATAATTAATTTTAAAAATATTATTTATTTTAATATTTTATTGCCTCATTTCTTTTCATTTTTAGGTAGTGGTAATATTCATAATATGTGTTGTATCGATCCTTGTCCTATATATGATTTTTCTAATTTGTCTGGACCCCCTCCTGCCAAGAAGAGATGTACCATACGTTGAGCATAAAAATGATGAGGTGTGTAACTTTGTTATTTTTAAAAATATGTAATTGGTACCTGAAAAAACATTTTTATATTTGCATGTGTGTGTGTGTGTGTGTGTGTGTGTGTGTGTGTGTGTGTGTGTGTGTGTGTGTGTTTGCATCTTTCTCGAAAAATAACACTTTAAAGAGTGGTTTTGTTCTCTAATTTAAAAATAGATTTGTCTTCTAAAATTAGATTTTTTTCTATAAATAGATTTTTTCCAGAAAGAGATTTTTCCATTCACAGGTCAGGAATTATCACAGACAACTTCTAAACATCCAGCAACCACAAAGTCAGCATCCAGGATCACCCATGGCGACATCGGCGGCCATTTTAGGTGCGTCCGCCTCTATTAACGATGACGACGATTCCGGAAGGGATTTTCCGGTTGAGAGTGGTTCCGTGGGGCTGTCCGGAAGGCAGGGGTTCGGTGGGGGCGTGTTTATGAGGATGAAGAATAAGATGTTTGGAGTTAGGGATGAACAGGCTAAGTGGAAAGAAACCGTTGAAGATCAGAGAAGGCATATATATGATGCACATACAATGCTTAATTGAGTCTGTGTGTGTTTGTTCGTGTGTGTGTGTCTGTGTGCGTGTGTGTTTGTGTTCGTGTGTGTGTATATGTGTTTGTGTTTTTTTTTCCTTCTAGTCTTATTATCGGTAGATGTTGATAGATCAGATTAAATTTAATTGATGATGGGTTGATAAGGATGATGATGGCTATGAAATGTTGCTGATGACATGGATGAATCTGGGTTTGTGGTTAAGTGTGGAGCTGTGTATTTATTTATATATTGATTAGTTGTGTTATACTCATTCAACAAAACACCGTTCATTTGTTTGTTTGGGTGTGTTGTTTTTCATTCATTCATTCATTGTCATTGATAACATTTAAAAATATTACAGCGTTATTGATAACATTTTATTCTCTGAATCAGTCATTCGATATTGTTAAACTAGTTAACTATTTAATTTGTATTGTACACACACACACACACACACACACTCACACACACTTTTATTTATACTCAAACATTTGTACACTCTAGTTCTCTTTCATTTTTCAATAAAATTTCTATATAACCGTTCAATGTACAGTTGAAAGCATCAAGATATCGTCTTGTCCATTTTATTTTGTTTCATTCGTACAAACAAACCTCTTCAAAAGTCTACAATACACAAAACATAAATTGACATTACATACAAATTACGTACAAATACCCAACCATGTTCGCCTGTATCATTGTTTTACACTATGCACTGAATCGCTAATAATTAGCAGGTATCTTACCTATGCACTAGAGTTTTAGAGTGCTTAGAGTTCTTAAATTCTTGAATGGTATTTAAACACTCCAGTATTTACGAGGTATTTCAATTTTTTTTTCTAAATAACAGTATTTTGTCTGTATCTAATAACTCTGGGTGTAGTTATGAATTAACAAATTCAATCACATTGGCGAAGAATATCATCAGTCATTTATTTTGCTCTGTGCGCTCTTGCTAACTTAATTCACACAACCTTGCAATGTATGCATGAGTCTAAAATGATAATAACAATGAAGGATTTTGTACTGTGTGATCCGTTTAACGTTTGCTAAGTACCTACAGACTACGTAAGTAGTCAACATTGTGGTATTTTAACAGAGCTGTTTCTTACATACACGCCCACATGTGTATCAAATACACATACCAACGTGTTGTACACATACATAGCTATTGTATACACGTACGTACATGTGCGTATGCAATCGTGCTTACGTAGCAGTGGCGTACGTCCAAATTGGTATTTAAAAGTTTCATACCTGCTTTAAAGTGTTTGAAAACAAATTTTAAAAAAATGTTATGAGAGGTATTTTTTTGGTTGAATAATTGATGAAGTGAAGATAGATGGATAGATAGTGTGAGAGAGAGAGAGAGAGAGACGTAAGGTCGTTGAAAGAACTAAGAAATGTTAATTAAATGATTTTAAAATAACTGGCTATGTAAACCTTCCACATTATCCTATGGAGATATGATGAGGATGGCGATGTTGCTAGATGTTGATGATGATGATGATGGTGATGGCGAAATATGACGATGATGAAGACGACGACTACGATGATAAAAATGATGAAAGATAACGATGACGCAACAAATCATCACGTGACCTTCAGTTTTAATTCAATAAGCCTCTTTAAAAACATACAACCCATCTTTATGATCAAATTTCAGCCATACATTATAAGTATGCACATCACATATTTACAATAATATACATGCATACATACAAACAAACATTCATACATATACACATTCATACATACATGCATACATACATACACACGCATACATACAAACATACGTACGTACATACATACATACATACATACATACATACATACATACATACATACATACAGCCATTCTCGAAAAAATTCCTTATAATAATATTGATCAGTGTAGTGCCTAGTACATCAACATCAACAACAACAACCGTTGTGTATACGCTTGCATGTATATATTTTTGTATGTATGTATATATGTATGTATGTATGTCTGCATGTATGTATGTATGCATGTATGTATGTTTGTATAAATATATATACATATATACATATGTTGTATAATAGTTTGAAGTTTTTTTGATGCTTGTTTGTTTACATTTTTCCAAGTTGGCATGCAATATATATTTATATATAAAAGCATACACACACACACAAACAAACAAACAAAAAACAAACAAACTCCCAGAAATTTTTTCAATATTTTCAGATTTAATTAAATCTCATTTTTTGGTAATTCCGCTTGCGAATTTTGTATGTATGTTTATGTATGTACGTAAGTATATTTGGATGTATGTATGTATGCATGCATGCATGTATGTATGTATGTATGTATGCATGCATGTATGTATGTACGTATGTGTGTATGTACGTATGTATGTTTGGATGGATGTATGTAAAGATAGATGTAACAGCAATAGCAAAATCATTTTTTTACGATTTGAATCGTTTAATAATTCATTAACCATTAATAAGTCTCAAATACTAAATATATTATTTATATTATATAAAACAATATTATTATTATTATTATTATAATTATTATTATTCTATTATTATTATTATTTATAATATGTATAACATCAGATGCCTCGGGAACACCAGCCCCACTCAATGGAATAGAGGTAATCCATGAATTTCGTTACAATTCTCTTTTATTAATTATAAATAGTAATAATAAAATAATAAAATTATATTAATAAGATAATAGTAATAATAATGCAACTTCTACTACTACTATTATTACTACTACTACTACTACTGCTACTACTACTATTACTACTACTACTATCACTACTACTACTTGTAATAGTAATTATGATATTTGTAGTAATTAATATTAACGATAATATTAATAATATTTATATTATCGTAAAAGACGATGATGATGATTGTGATGACGATAATGGTGATGATGATGATTGTGAGGACGACGATAGTGATGATGATTGTGATGACGACGATGACGTAATCATGATATATGACGTCACGCCAGAGAAACTAGCCACTGCCTGGTGAGTAAGCCACTATTGATCAAAGAATTACAAGGAGAGAGACCTTTGCTACAGCCACAACTGCAGCTACCACTACTACCACTACTACATCTACCACTACTACTGCTACTACTAGTACATCTACTACTACTACTACTACTACTACTACTACTACTACTACTACTACTACTACTACTACTACTACTACTACTACTACTACTGGTTCTGCTGCTACTTTTAATGCTGCAGCTGCTGCTTTGGCTTATACTGCTGCTGCAATAAAAATACAAATAGTAATAGAAATATCAACTAAAACAACTACAACAACAACAGCAACAACAACAGCAACAACAACGTCAATAACAGTCTCTGCTTTTGTCACTTGTGAAAATTTATCAAAAAAAAAAAAGTTAATACCCCCCCTCGTCTTTCTCGCGTGTCAACAACATCGTATTCATCATCATCATCATCGTCATCACCATCATCACCATCATCGTCATCATCATCGTCATCATCATAGCATCGTCATCATCATCGTCATCGTCATCAATATCGCCAACATCATAAACAAAAGTTAACTCAACTAAAATGGATTCTTACAAAGAAAC